TTATCAAAATAATATTTTTTGATACTCCGTCTTTTTTTTTTTTATCTATTCTTGTGATGGTAAATGAGAAGTTTATAGTTTTGAAGGGGCAAGATATTATAGAGTATACCTCAGAGTAATGATTCTAGCATGTGACAAGGCCATGTGTGCATATGAAATGTGAACAGTTCATTGTAATAACAATATCAGACCAAGCTAATAGAGGTCGATCTTGGGATCAAAGACCGACTCAATTGATAAGGCCGAGCTATATTAAGGTTTGAACAGCTCGGCCCGAGTTAGGCGATGTGATTGCTAATCATCCAGAAGACTGAGAAGATAAGATAGGAAAGTCGTTGAAGTCACAACGTACATCATCCATGATTCCGAAGAATTAGTTGATTTGGGAGCGTTGGAGAGATTTTAATAAAAAAATAACCGAAAGTCTGGAATAATGGAGATGTACCACCTCACTTTGCAAGTAAAGGAAACCCTAGAGGAGAGGATGTCTTATATAAAGGACCGGAAGTGTCTAAGAAAAGGTACGCATAATTTTTTCTACAATTATCCTTGTCCCAATACATTACTGACTTAAACATTGAAGCACTTCGGTTCTAGGCAGTTTGTTTGCTTTGTAGGGGGAATTGAGCAATATACATATACTTTGATGATAACCTAAAAACCATGCTTGTGTAAGCTAATCTTTTCATCCCTTATAATTGGCGCCGTTTGTGGGAAGGTCTCGAACAAAGAAGCAATGTCAAAACTAAAGAGCACTATTAGATCTTTGGTAAATCATTACGCTGACCAAGATTCTGATCAAAACTATAAGGTTTCCTTCCTCTCAGATGGTGATATTTGGGAGAATGCATATGAAAAACGAGACAAGCATCATAACGATGATAGATTTTCAGTGGCAAGTTTCAAGTTGGACGATGACGGTAGTTAGGACGATCCACAACGGGATGGATCCCTTCTGCTGAGGGGGACAATCCCGCACTTGCAAAGCTGATCCAATCCTTAAAGAATCGATTGGATGCACATGATGCCATATTCAAAAAGTCGTACAACAAAGAAAAATCACTTAGATGGGAAAATGAAGCATTGACAGATGAATTGAGGACGTCCAAGGAGGAAAGTGTCCCTGAAAGAGAAGGAACCTATATTGCCAACGCAAGGACCGAGCAAGGCCATAGGCATCGAGGTAGAACCCCCAAAAAGAAATAGACAAAGAAGAATAGAGAACTCCCAAGAGACAAATTATAGGAGAAAGTCTCATTGCTCAGAAAACCAGGAGGACGCCTAGAAACAATTCATTATGGAAGAGCTCAATAACAGGTTGAAAAGACCTGAGTAGAAATCAACTAGGGAGTTAGCAAGGAGGAATGAAAATTTCACCTTTTTTCTTGGTGGATCGAGCAAGGGAGGATCCCAAGTAAATTCACCCTGAATTTCAAGTTATATGATGACAAAACAAATCCAACTACCCATATTCAATATTACAAGCAATTAATGACGGTTTACAGAAAGAATGAGGCCTTACTTTGCAACATATTCCCTAGCAGCCATGGAGGTTTGAGAGTTAATGGGACATTATTCAGCGTGCCCATTAGAAGTTGACAAGTAGACTAGGACTGGACCCGCCGCCAAACATGTTGTCCCCCGAGCTTCTAGGGTTTGAGAGAGGGACTTGATCATCAAAGGTTTGAAATGGGAGACGAAAGAGGTCCTGATCCCTAACAAAGATTGACCTCCACCACCATATTTCCCGCCGCATAAAGAAGGAGGATTCTGGAGTAAGGTCCATTGTCTCTGTCAAGGAAAGGTGGCCTACAAGGAACATAGACCGAGGGATCAAATGGCTAACGTCAAAGAATCCCAATTTAGATAGGTAACTTTGGTCACGTTTGAATTCACATTGCCAGGAAATCCCCCTTTGGCTAGCTGGCATGGTGATGCAATAGTGGTGGACGAGTCAATCAGGTCCGCTTTAATTTGCAACATTAGGAGATGGTGATGCCCAAAAACGGTGATTCTCCCTCCAATCAAACATAAACCAACCCTGAATGTCACATGCTTCTATACAAGCAACTCATGTCCTTCTATGGTACCAATGAAAATCTCTTTTGCTGAGTTTTCCTGATAAGTCTTGGAGCCATTATCATGAAGTGGTACAAGGGTTCCCCCCCCCCCCAAGTGCATTCCACCATGGAAGCAAATGTCTGACCAGTTCACGACCCGATTCATTACCAGCAATAAGAGCCCAAAGGATATTGGTACTCTCTTAACCTTGCGTTGAAAGGCAAGGGAAACTCTTGAGTAGTGTGACCCCAATTAATAAATATGCCAAAGTTAAGGTCAATTGATTAGAGTCAATGATAAAGGGTCCACTTCAAAGAACAAGAAAGGCAAGACCATGCTGGGAAGAAGGCAAGATCATCCCAAAGCCCCTTGGAGGTGTCTTTCAAAAGGATCCACACGATTTGAAAAGAACCTATCTACAAGATGCTACAAAAGATCAAATAGGATGCTTTCAACAAGTGACCACTGAAGATGCAAGGTGATCTATCTACAATGAAATCCACTATTCGATGCTGTTATCATTAGGGTAAAAAGCACCTCATGGAGGATTGCCAAGTTTTCAAAGCCTTTCTTAAGAAATTGGTCAAGGAGAATCACCTAAGTGAGTTCATAGATGATGGAAAGACTTGGGAAGAAAGGCAGTAGTATGATACATATAACAACAAGGCGACCATTGTCATTCATGTGATTTATGCTTGCCCACATGAGAGGCCAACTTGCAATTCTCTCCGAGCCAACCTATAGATGGTGGCCCAATCCA